ATACCAACCTGAGTCTACCTAAGTCTGAAGAATGATGATTACTTCACGATAAATGTTCTTTTCGTCGACAGATACATACCTAATATACAGACATTCCTTCCCTTCATTAATATCGATTCTCGATTTCGGAAAATCTACACAAATATCATTAATCATAAAAGTAAACGGCAATGCAATAATACCATTTTCTCTTTTTTCAGTTTGTGAGCGGGTGGAATTTAACAAATCCTACAATCTCATTGGTTCCGGTAGCGGACGGAATTTTCCCATCCGCCCGGCCCGTTCACGGCGGGCGGAATCGTCCTGTTGATCCATTTTCGCGAACGAATTAGCGGTAATCTTCAATATTTTAGGATCTTTTATACGGACCTCCCAGCCGGCAAATAACATACAGACGGGGCATTTTTATTTTTCAATCATTTCTGCGTTCGTTACTGTAGAATATCCGTGTTTCATGCTGTCTAGATGAAGCAACCAGAGTCTTCCTCCAAGTCTGAGGATTGATATTACTTTACTATAAAAGTAAACGGCAATGCACTAACCGCCAAGACAACGAAATGGTCCGGTTACCTGCAGTAGTAGAGCTTGGTGTATTTATTGGCTCCCCGTTCGGATCTGTGAGGAAGTGGAAACGTATTGCTCTATCAATATAAGCGGGAAATGGAGAAACATAAACGCATTTGTTTCTTCACTAAAGACCATATGAAGCGTGGTATGAGGGGAGAAAGTCCTTCTTTTAGTTTCTAAAGTTGGTGTAAAGTAAACACGAAGCCCCTTGATTAATAATCATGTCTTTCCCTTGTTTATATTACTAAGACCTAGGGTACTGCGTTGGCTGGGCTCTGTCGGGTCCTGTCGACGTCCTTTAACCCTGAAGAATGGCACATAACTCCGCGCCCTTACGTGATCCGCAATGCGTTCTATTGGGGGGTACAAAGAATTGCCCCCAACCACTCACCCTGTTCTGAATTGATAACTACTCATTCATGTGCAAACCTCATATTAATTAAATGATTACCAATCCTTCTCGGGTAAGGACGTAAAAATTCTATTTGTAAACAGATATTTCATTTAAGAATTAAAATGTGCAAGTATCCTTTGCGAAATTATAAGTGATATCCAATCGTGTGAGCAACTCAGTTATTAAACTACTTCATTTTCAGTTTCATGTGGTTCATACTTAACTCTCTACTGTTGTAGAGCAACTATCCTACTCGATGTTCTTTCCAGAGTGACAGTGTTACAGGCTGCGCATATGCAAGATTGCTTTTTCATATTGGCTTAGAAAAATACTTTTAGAAGAAATATTTAATCATAATGTGTAATTTTATAGCTAAGAGAAAGTAGATTTCACAAAACGGATTTAATTTTAGGTCAGTTTTCTTTTAGAAATAACCTATAACTTGTGCTGTGTTTCCGGCCCCGTCAGGTCGGAGTGTGGTCAATACAACATCAAAATGCACCAGTACTAATTTTCTAGTGTAAGTAATTTTCTTTCTCTAGTATTTCCCCTCAGATTTCTGGGTTACGTACTGTTACTGGCAGCTACATTATGTTAATCCCAGGGTACATAGCGATTTAATGGTAAGATGCGATAAACAACTTAAAATCCTGCTGCGTTTCACTCTTGTTGCCGTCGAATTAATTGCAACACGATCGATACATCTTTCAAGTTTACAGTCAAATTGACTGTTAACCGTCTAATATAAATAAGTTGTTTTCTCCAGCATATCGCCATAGAATTCTACCTTCTATATCTCACTTTAATATAAATATAAATTCCTTAAGAAAACTATGATTAGAAGGTCAAGCTGCTCTAAGTAGCTCAACTGGGCAATATATTTCACTGCGTGGGGGACACCGTACCCAGGGCCGACACGAACTGGCGGAAACAAAACTGGCACAAAACAATTGTGATAGATTTTTTTCCAAAATATCTTTTTGTGACAGCTTTCTCTCTATGTACATGGGCTATTCATCGAGGTTTCACCTTGCTTACACAACGCGGGTGGTTCCACCTATGGACGCCATTTTAAATTTGTCCAATCAAGCTTGAAAAAGAACGCCTAAGCCTTTCAAGTTTCGACCAGAACGTCCCGCATGTGCAGCTCAACACATTATCCCTCCAAATATTACAGCACATTTTGCCCTTGTTACCTTTGCTCACCCTTTGTCTAAATATAATAAAGAACCTTTGTGTCTCTTAGACTTGATTGTCCCTCATCTCAAAACTAGAAATTCATGCGGGTACAGTCCTTACTTCTCCCGGGTTTCATCGGCATAGGGTGACTACAATTATTAGTATTGACCTCTTGGATTGGATTGTAATTAATCCCAGGTGAGATGCTGTGTCAGTAATTTGTTAGATTCTCCTGCCAAATTTCCGGT